AACAAGACCAGACCTACAACAAGTCACTGTAATGAGGGAAAAATATTTAGTTTGTTCATAGTGATCAAAGAAACCAGACTATCTTGATTGCCTGCTGATTATTTGGATGATCCAGATGTGTGGAAACAAAGAACGGATCTGATCAGCGATGTCATCAATAAGACAAGAGCCGAATGTCATGTGAAGAAGATGAGGATTTGGGGGGGGGGGTTAATCCTGCAACCCTGATCAGGAACAAGTGGGCCATAAAAACTCTGCACAGCGATCAATCATCTCATCTGAATAATGAAGTGTTCAGACAGCCTACCTGAGTGAAGACAGAACATGATTGAGTTAAAGATTATTTTCCTGGATGTTCTATTTAATCTCTGACCCACATKAAACTGAACCCTAACTCAGACAGGAAGTGTTTAAAGACCAGACCGGCCCACTGAGAGTTTCAGGCTGTATTTACAGAACATACAGGTGGTCATCAGTAAGAGTTCCTGTCCTTCACATCTGAAACACTTATCTTCAGCTACAAACCGGCTCATACTGGACCAGTGGTTCCCAAACTTTTCATCTTTTGACCCACAAAATAATTGACCCACAAAATACCAGCAGCAGAAACCTGTCCCCCCAGCAGTTGTTGGTTAAACATTGTTTTAACGTCAAATAAACAAGAGCATCGTAACATTATTTATTATGCTATTTTTGTATATTTTAAGTACACTAATTTTATTATTTTGCAACAACAAAGGCAAAAAAAAGTGCTAAGCTGTTGTTTTTTCAGTGTAATTAATTTAGAAAATATTTTCAGGACCCCACTGTGGGTCCCGACTCCAACTTTGGGAACCACTGTACTAGACCATACTGGGTCACACACTAACATTTTCCTTATTTCAAGAATTACAATTGCCTTATTGCATTAGTAGATTATTTCACATAATCTGAGAAATTTGAGAAGATTCAGTCTCAAATTAAGTGAAATAATCTGCTAATGGAATAAGATCATTGCACTTGGTAAGATTTCTTCACAGAAGGAAAGTTTCCAGGCTAAGATTAACAGCTCTTGCTTAGTACACCAGACTCAAACAAGATCAGAAATACTTTTTGGTTGGATATAAGATTGTAAGACTTGATTAGACATTTTTTGCAATGTGTAGGTTCATACAGAATCAATACTGGGTGTTTGAGGGCCACTGGGTTGGTCTACTCTTAGAAGTCAGACAACCCTTATTCCTCCACATCAGAGCAATAAACACTGGTTGTTGTCAAAGTAAATACAAATATTTTAGACTATTTGCTTTGAAAATTTCATATTTCTAAACCTACTTTCCATCTTTTAGGCTTTGAATAGACAGAGACTTGTAGTGAGCTGGAGTGGTTTTGTAAATGTATCTCAAACAGACATTTATTGTCAGTAACAGGCAGTGTAGGACATGTCCCGGGTCGAAGCACACATCCAGCCAGTCAACACAGCCGCCTGTGTCTCCTTGCTGTCTCGGCTGTACACAAAAACGATTTTCTCGTTCCACGGGTTCTTGAACCATGGCCATGTTTTATTCAAATATCTTCATGTTTGACCGGATCTCTTTGGCAGAGCTCCAGTCAGCAGTTGAAGTGAACGGAGAGCATAGTGCTGCAGAAACACGCCCACAAAGATCCGACCAATCACACAATACTTGATCCCCACACTGCAAGACAATACTTCTGATAGAGGGCTGTACACAGAAACAGTTCTTGGAAACAGAGTAAGAACAATAACATAATTTTCATCACACAGACACAATMGAGAAAAACTATTAATCACTGCTGATGAAGAATAAATCAGCTTTACTGCCTTTAGTGAGATGGATGGGTCAATCAGACAGCTGAATGTTTACCACCCTGGTCAGTGTCATGGTGAGTGGAGTGTCTGATAAACGGAGGCAGACTTCTACTGAATTATTATTAGACTCGAGGTCTGGAAGAAGCACTGAATATTTTAACAGAGCTGTGCTCAGCCTGCAGGCTAAGTATCTAACTTTCTTGTATCTGGTATGTTCTTTTCTTTTAGCTGACGGTTAATAAAACATGATACCACTGCTGACGTAACGTGTGTTCATTTAAATCTACCAAAACAACAGTGACGTGTGCAGAGTTCTGTAAAGACAAACAGGAAGTTCATACATTTCTGCACAGAAACCGAGWGAGAGGAACATATGGAGCTGTTTGTCCTCAGGGTTTATTTAACTAGTTCACTGAGTTAACATGATCAGAGATCAACACACGCACTTAGGGTTTTACTATCTTTGTGTGGACTTTGCATTGACTTCCATTCAGCCTAACCCTAACATGGTATTTTTTTCCTTTTGTTGACCAGCAAAACATCCTCACAAGGGTCATCTAATGTTCAAATAAATCCTCAGAACAAAATCAAGACATGCGCACACACAGACATACACACATTTGAGGCTGTTCAGACCTGTCACTTCAAATCTTTTTCAGCTAGAATGAACCAGCTGTCTAACCGTGAACTGAAAATGTTTTTCCTAATCTTGCCTTCAGAGGTGGTCTGAACCTCTTCTAGAATATAAAAACCTTTTATTTGTCCCTCTAGTGTTTCCTGCTCCAGCAGACCACACCACAGAATAYGGCTGATGACACCAGTCAGCACATCCTGCACTTCCAAAAACCTGAGTCTCCTCAGCAGGTAGACTCTGCTCTGACCCTTCCTGTRGAGTGTGTGTCCAGTCATTGTTCAGGTGAACACCCAGGTCTTTATAAGAGTCCACTATCTCAGAGTCTACTCCATGGATTACCTGTGTTATTGTGGTGAGTTGCACTGCAGAAATCTGCCAACAGTTTATGTCATGTTAATCTGGAGGTGGTTCCACTGGTAATAATCTATAGAATCTTGTGTCTGTACTCTGTCTGTATATCAATCTGTGATGAGTCAGCATCATCAGAGAACCTCTGTGATGGTCGTGTGAGGAGATGATGGTGAAGTCTGTGGTGAAGACGTATAACTGATAAAATGCCAGCACAGTTCCCTGCAGGGCCCCCATACTGCAGAGAACCCTGAYTCACAGTACTGTGTTCTTGCCAGTGTTTTCGGGAGGCTAGAGAGAACGTTGCTCCAAGTGGTGAAGATGGCTTCACAGAGGGCATCCGCTGTCTGGACCTGGTGTCCATTTTTGTAAACTTCCCTTGCCATCCATCCCCAAATGTTCTCAGTTGGATTTAGATCAAGGGAACATGCAGGATGGTCCAAAAGAGTGATGTTATTCTCTGGAAGAAGTCCTTTGCCAGGTGGGCATTGTGAATTACAGTGTTGTCCTGTTWAAAAAAACACCACACAGACGGTGGTCTTCAGTCATAAGGGAGACCCCCTGCAACATCTCCACATAGCCAGCTGCCATTTGAGGCCTCTGCACAACCTGAAGCTCCATTGCTCCATTGAAGGCAAAAGCCCCCCAGATCATGATGGCGCCCCCTCCACTGTGTGCAGACAACATCCCAGGTGGGGTCTCCTTGTCATGACAGTAACGTCTGAAGCCATCAGGACCATCAAGGTTAATTTTTTTTCTCATCAGAGAATAAAACTTTCTTCCACCTGTCAATGTCTCATGTTTGGTGCTCTCATGCAGCCTATTTCACCTTAATGGTTGTTTGCAATAAAATGCTTCCTCAGATTTTTTTCTCTCACTCTCTTTTCCTCTTTGTGCATTTCAAAGCTCAACTTAGAACCTTCTTACGATCCAATAGTGCAAAATATGAATTCTTTCCATTTTTCAATTGTTCTTAACATTTTGATCAGGAGTGTAGTATAGCCAATATGAGTAAAATAGTCAGAACATCTTCACAAGTTGGCATAAGTAGTCTAAAACATTATAGTGTGACAGGGCCTTTACACGCCAAACTCTCTGTTAGATTTCAGTCTTTGCTCCGATTCTGAACTCTTTCAGGTCACTGATCATCAGACCTGCTGATGGGTGCTCATAGCCTCTGTGACGTGAGGAATTACAGTGAAACCACAGTCAGATCACCCTAAACAGTTTTGTAAAAACAGAAACATAAACAGCCCGCTCTGTGTTTCTACTGGGTGGAGGAGAATCTAAATTCTGATCCTAAAAACAGAACAGTTTGAACAAATGTCCATCTGTCAGCTCACCTGGATTTCTCCCAGTTGTTTTGTCAGCTCCTTGAAATCAAACAGAAAACAAAAACATGTAAAACYCAATAAACCATAATAAGGGGAGGAGAATGTACTCATATTTATGTGTGTGTGTGTTACCTGGGATCTGGGCCCGGGGACTGCAGTTTTCATTAAGGGTCCATCGTAGTCATACTCAACCTGGGTCTTTGCTGCTGCCTTACTCACATACCTGCAGCCTGAGGACACATKAGGACACATGAGGACACAWCAGGACACATCAGGACACATGTGTCAATGGTGCATATGAACAAAAAGCTCGAGTACACCCCTTTCCACGTAAAACTTCAGCTGTATCAAGACTGAAAGGAGTGAGGACTTGTGTGCAGCATCACGCCAACTTCATGGCTGGAGTACGCACGTTTCTGTGCTTCTGGCTCCATTGGCAACAATTAGAGGTGATTCTGGGAAACTSTTCACTATGTGAAAATGATTATTGTTCACACCAGACACACATTATTGTTGAACAATTGCTACATCCACATGTTCGCAGTTAGATGAGTGGATATAAAAGTCAAGTGGTGCCAAAAAAACCCTTCAACAACAACAGATTCAGTCTTATTGGAGGATAAAACAAATGATGCAACACGCAGAGCCTGCATTTAGATACAGAGGATTTTCTGGTCCACAACTGGCTCATTGGTCATTTTCAGCTTCCAACAATAATCCTTTTGCAACTGTGCTTAGAGCTGCGGAGAGAGGAGCTGTGCGCTGCGTGTGCACGTGCATCTGCTGACACTGGGGTTTCACAACAAAAACAACAAAATAAAACTGTAAAAATGTTCAGAACTTATTGTTCTCTAAATGTTGTGTGGTTGTGACACAATGATGTCATTATACACAAGTTTCATAAACTCTGGGTCACGCTCATCATCTGCCTGGGACAAAACAGTTATTTTTCCAATWTCCAGTTGATTCTCTTAATGAATGGAAAGTTTCTGGAAAAATTCTGGATATTTACTGGAAATTTCCTGTCCACCCTGCAGGAACTCTTCAACTTATAGATTCCCACATGGACTCTAGAATCTCTTTCATGCTTATGGTGATAAGAGCTAAAAGGTATCAGTTAAGAGCTAAAAGGTATCAGTTTGTCAAGAGTTCAGTAAACCTCTGGACTGGTTAGATGGTCTGATTGGGACTAATACACTCAAAAAGCCTGATTTACAATCAAAAGGTCCATTCTAGGCTCACCCTTACGTGGGTGTGTGATGAAAATTGTGTAGTTTTCTACCATTACCACCTGCTGAGATCCCATCTTGTGCCTCCAGTCAGAACTAGATCTCACAGCTGTGTGTGTCGATTATTATGTGACAGATTAGAGTTTTGTGTTTATGTGAAGTGGTTGCAGTCAGCTGATCACTGAGCAGCTTCTGCTGGCTGAGGCTGTGAGAAAATACAGCCGACATTACAGCTGCTMRTTAAAAATGATAAAGAAAGTCAAATAAAACTTGTGAAGATAATAAAGGAACTTGTGGAAGGAGATTGGATAATTTTGCACACAAAGAAGAGGTGGTCCTCCATGACTGTACTGACCCGGACGGTGGGCTCCACAGTCGGACGCCACATGTTCCTGCCATGTTTGTTGGAAATTGTGGAGGTCTCTGTTACAAATTTACAAAAAAGTACTKCTCCTTGTTTAACAACAGAAACARCACATCCTCCTCCTCCATCATCAGCTAAAAAAACAACATCCAAACATGATGTCTGCTGCAGCAGGAGGACTTATCAGGGTTTGTCCCTTCTGGTTTGAGTCTGAACAGTCAATGAGAAACAGACTGATATGACAGGAGGATCCAAGGTTTAGTGGAGCCTTAATGATCTGTCCGTGCTCATGTATTAACATAGACGATACAACAAACTAAACAAGCTGTTTTATATTGAGGTGTACAGGTTGATTTTTAACTTTTGGCCCTGAGAAGAGACTGCAGGATCCTTCTCTSCTTTGGCTTTTAGATCATATTACAGCTGGACTGTGGACTGACGCGTCCACAGAACATGTGATAAACTCCTGCCCAGGCAAACATCTCCCTCTTTGTGTCACGATGTTTCAGATTCAATGTCTGAATATAGAAGTAGAAAATCTGAGTTAAGTTGTTTTGCTTCGAAAACAACACGAGGCAGAACCCGTCGCACAGTTAAGGCTCTGTGCTCCATTTCAGCCCAGCTCAGCTCTGCTCCGTGACCCTTCTGGTCCCTGAAGCTCTCTTCAGTTCTGAGAACTGTCCAGATCCATGTGTGATTTATGACGAGCAGAGGCAGCATGCAGACAGGCGGGTCTCTGTTGTTGCTCTCTTTTTAAACTACAGGCTGAGGAAAACTGGGACTAAAGTTTCATCTCATCTCAGCAGCTTTTGATGTTTATAAAATATCTATAATGATCGGGGCTTCTTGGCTTCTGTTCAGACGTATGATTGATTGACAGGTGGCAGGTTGATTGATGAAYCACTCGTTCACTGATTTGAGAGGGGAACAGATTGATTAGAAACATCCTGATTAACCCAGAACACTAAAGCTGCTCTCTGTGCTCCGTTTGGACCTGAGAGAACCTCAGATCTGGAGTATAAGCTGTAAAATAACGACAAAATCATTAAAAGTGAACGATTTGTAACTGGATTTGAAGCTGGATCTGTTTTGGACTRAACTGGCTTCATGATTTGGACTTTTCTGGTTATGGCCTTGAAATAACWTTCGAGTTGATGCTGTATAAATAAAATGAACTGAAATAAAATGATTAAAGCTATAAAAAATCATGACATTTCTTTGTCACAAAAAAACTTCTTCACTAGATACAGTAAATAAATAAATAAATAAATAAATAAAGTGTACATTGAGGTTCTCAAGCCATTTGTGTCTAGGGACCCCTTACAAGAGCGAAAAAATTCCAGGGACCCCCTCATTATTCCCATGCTGTTTAAAGGATAATTTATTGCATTTCAACCCCTAAATGCCACGGGAATATATATTTTTATTAAGTTTATTATGTTTGTTTTATTAGGTCATTGTTCTCCATACATTTGTACAAATAAAAACCAAATTAAAAATTTAGTGAAATATTTTGAGGACCCCCCCTCTTGAAGACCCCTGGGGGGGTGGGGTCCTGGGACCCCAGTTTGAGAACCTCTGGTTTAGACAAAAAACACCACAGTGAAGTGGTCACCCCTTTAAAATGTTTTTAAGCTATTAAAAATGATCTAAATATAAATCTGTAGAAAACAACAAAAGCTAGTCTCCCACAGGAAGTGAGCTGTGTAACATGTGTGTGTGTTGAGTATCAAGTATCCTGGTACCACCCGGCAGGTCCAGCAGTTACAKAACACATGAGATATTAAATATAAATGAGAGTGTCTTACCTGCAGCACTGAGTCTGTGGTTCTTCTGCAGGGACAGAGTCAGCTGACGGCTGATCAGGGAGCTTGCCATGGCAGTGGTCAGGAGGAAATGTGTTCTCAGTGACGGACTTCACCCGGTCACCTGCAGACAAGGAGATGGAGGGATGATGAAGCCCACCTGGGAGGAGGAGACACCTGTCCCGGTTCTGGTGTGACTCGAAGCACCCGCAGCTCAGACTCTATCAGGAACCTCACAGCTCCGAGTTAATGACTCACATATTAGCTTCAATTCATCAACTTCTACACTRACACAGACAGGTGCAAACGTATTCACCCCCTTCTCCTTGAGSTTCTTTTATGTTGTCGCCTTCAAACCTGGAATTTAAACAGTTCTTTACTTTGATTAGAAGTAATGAAAAAAATACTCAGTGTTAGGGAGGTGTTGTGGACCGGTTGATGGATRGATGAAACTGTATTTAAGTTGTTTTATTCCCAGTTTAATTTCATTAATGTTGGTATTTTGTGTAACTCTTTCACTTCTTTTCAAAACAAACAAAAACAGGTCTGGTGATAAGGCAACAAAATTAAAAAGTAGGACAAAGGGGTTAACACTTTTGCACCCTGCAGAGAACCTCCTGCTGCTGACCTATTTATGACTAAATACCCGCTCCTWCACTTTAAAACTGAACATTTCTTTAAATAAAGTCCAACATTAAACAATCTGCTCCAGCTTCTCTGAGTCGCTGTCRGAAAGGAAGATCATATTTATGAATCTGCAGGTCACATGAAAACAACAGGACCAGAACATCAAAGTTTTGCTCGTAACGCTGACAGAAAGAGGCAGGACTGTCTGCTCTTCCTCCTCACTCCATCTCTTATGTAATGAAGGCAGCAGGAACAGGAACATTCCGGTTATCTGCCTTCACCGAACAAAACACCCCAGCTTCTCTCCACACACACACACACACACACACACACACACACACACACACACACACACACACACACACACACACACACA